TGTTCCCCTTTCTTTTTAAAAACCCCCCCCGATTTTTTTTTGGGGCCCCCCCACCCCGGGATTTGTTTCCAAGAAAACTCAGGGGGAATTTTTGGGCCCGGGTTTAAAGGGGTTTTTCCCCCCCTTGGGGGGGGGAAAACCCCGGGCCACCCGGTTTGGTTTAAAACGGGGGGGTTTGGGGGAGATTTTTTGGGGAAAAGAAAAAAACGTCCCGGTTAAAGTTCTTTTTTAAAAATTTTTTTTGGCCGGGCGCCCCCCCAACCCAAAAAAGGGGGGGAAAATTTCCCCTTTTTCCCCATTCGGCCTTTCCCGGGGGGTTTTTTTGGGGGGGCCCCCCCCCCCCCCCCCCCCCCCCCCGCTCCCCCGTGGCCGATATTCCTCTTGTTTTTCCTTTTTGTTTGCCTCGGCCATACAGACCCCCGACGGCAGCCAGTGGTGGCTGTTGGGCATCGCGGGAGAAATCTACGCGGTGAGCAGCCAGATGTTCGTCTCGTATGACGACGTACGGTCGTGTTTGCCACCCTACCGTTTGGTTTTCTCACAGGGTGTTGTGGGTGGTGATGCGTGTCTTGTTCCGAGGGAATGATGCCTTGTGCATTGCTGAACCTTCTTCCCAAGTGAAAAAAGGATGTGTTTTTAAAAAGACAATTTGAAGTCTTCTAGGTTGTACATGCAAAAAAGGAGCAACGTTTGTGTGATTGTATTGGGTGCGGTTCTTTTGATTTCTTTGCCGGACACAGGTGGATTCCGACAACATGGATGACTCAGAACTGGTGATCGACGTCTCCGGATCGGTTACTGGCGGCACCTTCTACGTGGACTACGAGGAGGTACGATGCGCGGGAACGGCATACTACTTTACACAAATGACTTCTCTGACGTTGTTTATGGGTCGGCTTGGAAGGCAGTTCCGACTTCGGTCGCCGAAATGCCAGTGACGTTCCACAGACCGTGAAACAATCAACATGTTAAGTGCTGCCGGTCGGTCCCACCTTGTATATCTGTTTTCCTGTTTTTTGCGCGTTTGTGCATGGACAGGGTCTGCTCGACGTAGCCTTCGGGCCTATGTTCAGCGAAAGCGGGTACCCGAACTACTTCTACGTGAGCTACACGGTCGACCTTAACGATGACGTGAGTGTCCTTGATGAAAGGCGGTGGTCTGATTTCTTGGGTTTGTTCTCCCATCTCGCCTGGTTGCGGTTTGTCGTCCCTGCTATGTTTGCGGTCCTGACCGTGTGTACATGATGCATGCATTTCAATATGCTGCTGCTGCGGGTTTGTAACGGGAAGGGCGTGGAAAGTGTTCGCCCAAAACTCGCTCTTCGGTGTGCTGTGTCGGGTCTCGTCCCACCTTAATTTCAATGCGTGGGTCGTGGTCGAGGAATCACCCCGTCTTTGTGTTTTTTTTTCGTTCTTCACTTCTTTCTCTTGTGCAGTTGATGCAACGCAACCGGCTTGCGAGGTTCACGTACATCCCGGGTGACCCGGAGGGCACCAAGGCTTCGGAAGAGGTCTTGCTCACCACCGTCCCCAAGTACAACAGCATCCACTCGGCCGGATGGCTCGGCTTCAAGCCGTCCGTGTACGGTAACGTGAGTTTTGGCGGCGTGCCGGTTTTTTGTTCCACCTATGGAGGAGACCCATGCGCGGCACGCGACGGCGGGTTTCTATCGAGAGGAAAATTCGAGCGAGTTTGAAACGCGGGTGACCGACGTACGTTTTTTGTGGCTTTTTCTGTGCTATTGTTTTACTGAAAAACGATTTTACTCTCACCACATTTGTTAATTGTTTGGTGTATCATTTTTTGTCCACAGTCCTCCCCCCAGGACCTCTACTGGACAACCGGCGACGGCGGGCCGCAAACTGACCCCGAGAACCACAGCCAGGACACGCAGACCATGCTTGGCGCCATGATGCGTATTACTGTGCCTTCCGACGGCGATGGCTACACCATCCCCTCCGGCAACTATGGAGGTATCGATCATCAGTCCGTCGATTTGCGTGTTTTCTTTTTTCTCCTGACGGCCTGTGGAGGCGTTGCAATGCAGTTTTCTTTTCGTCCCTCCCTCGTGTGTGTGTGTTGATTTTTTCTTCCTCGTCTTGTGGTCTAGGGATGGGTGTGTGGGGAAGTTCTCGTTTTCTCACACGACACGATATTATTGAAGTTTTTTGTTTTTCCTTTTTCTCACCAGCCGGTGTGTTCTTTCGTTGTTTAGCGTGGTGACGACAATGAATGAACCCACAATGATTTCGTCCACCACCAGGTGGTGCTTTGGACGAGATCTGCGCGATCGGCTTCCGCAACCCGTGGCGGTGCAGCTTCGACCGCGAGAACGACAACCTCTACTGCGGTGACGTCGGACACACGTTTGTGGAGGAAATCGACCTTGTGGAGTGAGTTTTCCAGGGAGGAACTCTCTCATGCATGCCTACGGCAGCATGGAAGGCAGCGCGTCTCATAATGTTTGTGATGGAGGTTCGCGGCCTGGGGTCTTGCTTGGTTTCGACCTCGAGCTCTCGCACGCATGCAACACTCGTCTCGAATTGGGCCAAACTGTCCTTCAGGCCCGTGTTGTCTTTGGGCGACAAAAGTGTTAAAAGTGATCCAGCGCCCGTTGTTGTTTCCGATGATGGCACACACACACACACACAGGTGCGGCAACAACTACGGGTGGTCGAGATTCGAGGGCTCCCGCTGCCAGGAGGCCGTGGAGGACAACGAGTTCAACCCTGCCTGCGACGGTATCAGCCGCTCTGGCTTTACGTTCCCTCTCTACGAGTACTGCCACCCCGACTACCAGTCAACCGGGGACGATGAGTTCACCGCTGGTAACGACATCTGCGGCGACCGCGTTCTTCTCGGTAACGCCGTTATCGGAGGTTACGTATACCGCGGTAACTACTTCTCGGACCTCCTGAACGGCGCCTACATCTTCGGAGACAGCACCATGAAGTGAGCATTGGGGCAGGTTGTGGCTCTTTTTGGTGTTGGCTTGGGCAAGGCTGTTGAATGAGCGGCTTACCGTTGAAGGTTGTGGTGACTTAGCTTTTTGTCCGCTCTCGGGTTGTTGGGTACGTGTGCGTGCTAAGGACCCTTGGCAAGGATTTTGGATCCTCATCCTTGATTCTGTTTTGGCCGGTGCTCCTTCGATTTCGATGTTCAGGAACATCTACTACCTCGTGGAGGAAGATGGCGGCTGGAGTCTCGGCACGATCATCAGCGACGCGAGCGTGCAGATCATCAGCTTCTCCGAGGACATCAACGTAAGAAGCGCATAAAGACGTGCTGTCGTCTGCATGACCGCCCTGTATTCTACTATTATTTAATAGTCTTGTCTGCAAGCGTCAAGCAGTCTTTTTTTTTCCCGAATTTGCTTGGTGCAACCAGAGCAAGTGCCAATGCATGTGCCTCTTTCGGTTCACAACACGGCTGCTCCTACTGGACGGTTGGGTTGAGTTTGAAAGGCAATGAACCGGGACTTCTCGACGCCCTTTTTCATGTTTTTTTGCCTATTATCTCATGCGCATTGTTTAGTCCGTTTCCGCATCGTGCTGTGTGCTGAACGCCGCTACTGTAACTTTACCTGATCTGTCTTGGCTGGACAGGGTGAGATCGTGCTCCTCGACCTCCAGCACAACATCTACCACATGCCCTGCGGGGACCTGTGCGCCACGACCTGCCTGGACCAGACCGAGGACCAGCCGACTTACGATGTACGTTCTTACACCTCGATGGTTGACGACCGGCTGTTTGGTTCAAAGGGGATTCCGGTTTCCCTCGACTCACTTACGGACTTCAAAGTGATTGTGTATTCATGTAGGTAGGATATATCTTCTTGAAAGTGATTCGGGCGTGTGTGCTCGTCATCGCTGTTGAGTTCTGCACAACTTGTTGTGCGCGTTGCTGACAATCCGTGATTTTTATTGGTGTTGGATGGGAAGGCTCTGTTGGTGGGTTGACCCTTCCCGTCCGTCCCGTAAAAGCCTGCGAACAGTGACGCGAACGTTTTTCTCTTCCGAGCAACAATCAAAAACCAACCTTTCGCGCCCCTTTCCTCCACACGGTCGACAGTCCGTGGGTTGCTTCGCCGACGAGGTTGACGACCGCGCGCTGCCCGACCAAGCCGACAACTGTGGCGAGGGCGAGACGGCCATGAGCCCCTCGGTAAGTTGGTTGCGACAGCAGCGTGTGACGCCAGGTTAACCATTATTATTGTTTTTGGTGTAACAAAAAATCGCGCCGCATGGACGACGAAAATTCCCTAAAATTCCCAGGTGCTGTTACCCAGACTGTGGCTTTTTTTCGACCTTGACCGCCACGCTCGTTCTCTTAACGATGGGTTCGCCGTCCCTGTGCGTTTCTGTTGCCTCTTCATTTCTTCTTGGCGCAGATCTGCGCCTCGTACTGCGAGACTCAGGGCGCGACCTATTTCGGCGTTGAGTTTTCGTACGAGGTAAGTGAGGCTGATGTCCGATACAGCCACGTTTACCATCGCTCGCAGATCTAGCCAGCATGTACCGCATTTCGTTGACTACAAGTACATCCCCGAGCTGTCGTGGTTCGTTTACTTCCCGATGATGTAGTGTGTGGCGCAACTGTAGCGCATTATTTGGTGTCGAGCTTGACATTGACGTTGACGAAACCCCCCCGCTTTGTTTATCTTGACGTCTGGCCTCTCTCGGTCCTGTTCCGTCGCGGTCTCCGTTGTTGTGGACTCCTGCTTGACGCTTCGGTCTTTACCCCGACCTAGTGCTTCTGCGGCTCTTCCACCGCCGACTTCGACAAGCACGGATCGTTGCCCGACTCGGAATGCGAATACCTGTGCGATGTAAGTGTGGGATGGAGCGATAAAGACCCGCTGAAGGACCCGTAGTCTGGTATGAGCACGAGGCGTCGGTTTGTTCCATCACGTGTGGTTTTCTCGGCCTACATATTTTGGCTCGGGGAGCGTTCATTTCTAAGATTGTTGTCATGTTGGTTGATGCCTGAACTAACATTTCCGTTTTCACGTCCCTCTTTTTCAGGCTAACCCGGACCAGTTCTGCGGTGGATTTGGTGCGATTGAGGTGAGGTTCACGCCCAACACCTCCGTTTTCAAATGCAACACATGGGTGTGGTGATGTGGTGTATGGTGTCTACCTGACGCGTAGCGTTGTACGGATTTCACCGAGGAGTGACGGTACCCGTTTTGGGACTTGACTCTACTCCCTGCCGGCGGGCGTACCAGATGTTCGAGGTGTTGAGCAATTCGTTCTGTTGTAATAAGCGCAAGAAAAACTCGCCAGACGCCCACTCCCATTTCGTATTTTCGCTATTGTGCTGATTTTTGTATTTAGGCCTTGACGATTGGGCCATTCCTTCCGTCCCTCTCTTCCTTGCCTTTATCTTGACCGTTACCCCGCCTCCCACCCGTTGATGATCAGGTCTTCACGATCGAAGCCCCGGCTGAAACCGAGGCTCCCGCGACCTCTCCTCTCGTGGCCCAGCCTATCGAGCCCATCGCCCCCTCTCCCACAACCCCCACAACTCCTACCCCATCGGACGCCAGCTACCTTGGCTGCTTCGGAGACGCCGATGACCGCGTGTTCCCGGAGTCCACGTCGTCTTCCTCAATGACCACTGCGGTGAGAGACAAGAGAGCGTGCGTGTCTTGTCGACGGCTGGTGGCGATCGGAACGTGATGACTGCTGAGCGGACGGACATGCTCCCTTTTTTTATTGCCCTCTTGCTTGTCAGGCCGCCTGTCATTTGTGTTCGTGTGTGTGTGTTTCGTGTTTGGAAGGGCGTTTTTTCGTCCTGCACGCTGACATTGTTGCTCCTGTTCCCTTCTACCCCCTTCCCTGCCCCCTGTTGCGGACATGAACAGACGTGCGCGGCGTTCTGCTCCGACTACGCCTACTACGCTACTCAGTACGGAGTAGAGGTGAGGGAGACAGACTTCCAAGCATTCCTGGTGTTGCTTGATTGTTGAGGACGTCATGGGTGGAAACTATTGCGTGGAGTTTCTACTTTTTTTAACAAACTTGAAGAAGCACGCGTGCCTGCGCCCGGACATTCAAAGTACTGTTATTTTCGGCCCTGACCTTCCCATGAACCGATACACACTTACACATGCTGTCCCGTGTTTCTTTGTTGGTGCCCTCCTACATCATGACAGTGCTGGTGCGGCAACAACGACGCCTACGACATTTACGGTGTTGCTGACTGCGACATAGCATGCTCTGGTGATGCCAGCGACATCTGCGGCGGGGACTTCGCCATGTCGGTGCGTGAGCGCTGTTATCCGTCCACCTGCATATCGTTGCATCACAAAACGGGTTCCACAGAGTCTGCGCGACCTCTGCCTAGACTCTCTTGACGTATTTTCGCGTAGGCTGCCAAGTGTGGTTTGGGTGTAAGATAGAATCGGCGGCGATGTTGGGCATCGGTTTTATTCATTCTGTTCCGCGTCTCTGCTCCGCCTGTTGCAGGTGTACTCGACTGGCTCCGAGCCCGTGGAGACGCCGACGCCCGTGGACGTGGTCGATCCTACCGACCCCACTTACCTTGGCTGCTTCGGCGACTCGCAAACTGAACGCGTCTTCCCGGTCACCACCGACTCCGGCTCCATGACCACTGCGGTAAGCAAACGAGTGTTGTCTCTGCCCCCCCCCTCCTCGACCGGATGGCCGTTGAGAACGTAGCAACCCGACCTGGGTGTTTGGATGTGAAATCATCAGAAGAGATGGGAAGGGAACGGCGTCGACGCATATCGACTTGCGATGGATGATGTTTTGCCCGTTATGCCTGCTCCTAACCTCTGGTGCCTGGTCCGCTTGTCGCCTTTGTCGAACACGACGCGACGCTATCGCCGATAATTCGAAACAACGCAGTTCTGCGCCGCCTTCTGCGCTGACTACGCCTACTACGGAACCCAGTACGGTGAAGAGGTGAGTTTAGACTTGGACGCGAGCCATTGTTGGCAGTTCAGGGTTACCGTACCGGTTTGTTGTGACTTGGAAAGACAGCCGTTTAGTGGTGTACGTGCCATGTTCGGACGTAGTGGGCGATGGAACGGAGAATCTGCTCCCGAGGTGGGGAACGGTGATAGATGGTCGTGAAACGAGGCTTCGGCTGCCGAGGATGTAGGAGGCGAAGCGATGGCTTCGGACGAAGTCTCAGGTCGTCAGCTTGAACGCGGTTCATGGCGTTACATCAAAACCTCGTCGGCTCATGTAGTAATGACGCCCGTTACCCATTGTTCATTCTGATGTAGCCAACGCGGTTCCTTACCCTTGCAATGTCTTGTGTAGTCATGCTGACAACGCCATCCCCGACCCTTGAAACCGCAGTGCTGGTGCGGCAACAACTCCGCGTACGACACCAACGGTGCGGCAACTTGCGACATGGCGTGCTCTGGTGATGCCGATGAGATCTGCGGAGGCTTCGACGCCATGTCGGTGCGTAAGCACAGCCATTAACTGCTGTGCGTCTCGATGGTCCGTTGGTGGAGGTCTTGCGTGTGCTGCAGCAGAGCTGCGTTGTTCAATCACTCATGTTTTTGAACTTTGTCCTCGGCAGTGCCTAGCATACTTCCGCCTGTCTTGTCGGTTGTTGTCGCGTAGGGTAGGATTTTTTTTTTTTTACGTTTCGGGAAGCGCCTCACATCCATCTGTTGCATTCCCCATCTAACCAATCCTCTTTTGGTGGGTCTCGTCCTCGCTCTCCGCCGCCGCAGATCTACTCGACCGGCTCCGACCCCGTCGAGACCCCGACGCCGGTGGACGTGGTGGAGACGCCGACGCCCGTGGACGTGGTGGAGACCCCGACCCCTGTGGACGTGGTCGATCCCGCCGACCCCACGTTCCTCGGATGCTTCGGCGACTCGCAAACTGAACGCGTCTTCCCGGTCACGACCGCCTCCGGCTCCATGACCACTGCGGTGAGCAGAAGCGTGTTTTGGGTGGCCTCGCCCGACTGGATGGCCGTTAAGAACGTAGCAACCCGACGTGGGTGTTTCGGTATGATGGCGTAAGAATGGCGAAAGGGTTGGCTGCTTGCTCTTCTCCTTTACGACCGTTAGTCGTGGTGACATTCGGTGGTTGATGTCTCCTTAGTTGACGGCTTTCACGCATATCGACTGGCGATGGATGATCGTTCGCCCGTTCTGCCTGCTCCTAACCTCTGGTGCATGCTGCGGTTGTCGCCTCCGTCGAACACAACGCGACGTTATCATCGATGTTACAAAAAACAACGCAGGCCTGCGCCAGCTTCTGCTCTGACTACGCCTACTACGGAACGCAGTACGGTGAAGAGGTCAGTTTAGACGTTAGCGAGCCCTTGTTGCAGTGCACGTTTGCCGTACCTTGGAGACCCAGTCATTGTAAATGGTGTCGTACGTGCCTTTTTCGGAAGTAGGTGGGCGATGGATGGAGAATCCGTTCCCGGTGCAGAAAACGGCGATACGTAGTCGTGAAACGATCTCAAGGCTTTGCCTGCCGAGTATGGGAGAAGAAGCAACGGCTTTGGACGAAGTCTTGTGTTGTCCGCTTGAAAGCGGTTCATGGCGTCACGTGAAAACCGCTGCGTCTCTCGTAGTAGTGACCGTGGTTGTACCCATCGCTCGTGCTGACCTTTGAAAATGCAGTGCTGGTGCGGCAACTCCGGGTACGACACCTACGGTGCGGCAACTTGCGACATGGCGTGCTCTGGTGATGCCGATGAGATCTGCGGAGGCTTCGACGCCATGTCGGTGCGTAAGCACAAATAGTAACTGCCGTACGTCTCGTTTGGCGTAGGGCTAGTGGTGGGGGTCTTGTGTGTCCTGCTACAACGTGCGCTGTGCACAGCATCGACGAAGGGCTTCAACTGTCTGTTTTTTTAATTGTTCAACCAAAAGTGCTGTCTACTCCCAACAACTACCGCGTGCTCCGCATCAGCCAGTGCCGACCACTCCGCCGCGCACTCCGTCGTTCGGCTTTGCACGTCCGAGAGTAATTCCCCCCCCCCCCCCCCCCTCCCCTCATGTGCTCACGTTTGCTCGGTAACAACCCCTGCCACCGTAGATCTACTCGAACGAAAACGTTGACCCCGTGGAAGAACCGACCACCGGCGACGGTTACACCAACCTGGGGTGCTGGAGCGACCCCCAGGACTCTAGGATGATGGTGGAGACCGCATTCGATTCCAACATGACCACCGCGGTAAGCGGGTGGATAATTAATTTGTAGACTTGTGGCGTGGACGACTGAATTCGTGGGTTTGGTTCCGTATTAAGAGGGGTTTTGGCCGAAGGATGGTACTTTGGTGTTGAGCAAGCGCCATGCGTGTGGTGTGTTGGGCATTGTAGCGATGGTACCCAGCCGATGATGCAATAGGTGCTTTTGACGTTGCTGCCCTCATGTCGAATACACAAGCAGGCCAACTGACTTCCCCCACCCCGACGATCGTTCGTTACCCCGCCCCACTCGCGAGCAGATGTGCGAGGAGTTGTGCGATGGCTCTACGTACTACGGAACGCAGTACGCGTACGAGGTGTGTGTAACACACTTTTTTTTTGTTATTTTGTGCGTGTTGTGCGTAGGGTTATTTTTCATGGCCGGTTGACAAATGAAAAGACGTCGGTGTTGGGTGTTTGAGCATGAGCCGTGTGCCGCTTCCGGTTGGTCGGATGTGATGATTTGCGCGCTCTCGCTTTCGGCGAAATAACAGTAGAATTTCCCACCGCGCAGGGCCGTGTACATGGCGCACGGAACCATCGGGGATTCTGCGCTTGCTGACCCTCGCATCATCTGCTGCTGCTCTGTTTGATTTTTTTTTCGTGCGCGTGGTCGCTGTTTTGGTGCATCGAATGGCGTGAATGGTGTCTTTTGTTGTTATTTGATGGCAGTGCTGGTGCGGAACCGCCGATACCGATTACCAAGCTGACGGGCCCGCTACCTGCGACGCCGAATGCGGTGGCGACCCTGACGACATATGCGGTGGCACTGACGCCATGACGGTGAGCGCATGTAGGCAGCAAAGAGGCTGAATCGTCGATTGTCTGCACGTACCGTGCCGCGCGCCACGCGCACTTGGTTGCACCCACCCGTATCTTGTTTAGTGATATTTTTTCCGGATCATGTTGACGTTTTTACTACGCAAGAAGTGAGCCTCTGACTTGGCTGTACGCTTTCCGACACGTGACGATATCTGTTTACTATGCCAAAGGTGTCGTTGCTTGCTTGTTACTAATGTAGTAAACCCGCTATCCACGATCTCAACCCCTCCCCCCGCTCATTCCCTGCAATGCCGCCCATCCCAGGTTTACGGCCCTGAGTAAAAACCTCAAGTGTAGTCAACGGCAGCGCCAGGGTGGATAGAGTAGCCGAGAACGCGAAGCCGTCGTCGTGTGTGCCCGTTTGGTGGTGGGGGCAACGCATCGATGGCTCAGCCTTGCTTGGTTCATATTCGACCGGGCGCTCGTTGGTCCCTTGATCAAATGAACGGGATTGGTTCTGTTGTCGTTTCGTGGACTCCGAACCCGATCTCGTTCCGTAGTCGTCCGTTCGTGTAAAATACTGACCGGTTGGGTCTGTTTTTAGCAAGTGTACGATTCAGCCGGACCGGGGGGGGAAAGGGTTTGGTTTGTGCTATTATTCGGGGAAAAAATGTAGAGTTTGAGTGGAAGCTTTCGGGCTGAACCTTTCCGACCCCTTCCGACTTGTTGCCGGCCACCTAGTGGCGCAGTCCGGATCGCTTGCGTGATTCGGACTTAGAACGAAACGAACCATGTTTACTTTTGGGAAGGAAAAGGGTGGGGTGGGAGGTTGCATGGTGACAGTCCGATTTTGTGCCCCCTCCTTCCAGGTGGAAGTAGTGTTCGCTCTTGCGGCCGAACGTCGTCAAGCGTAGCAATCATGAGCAAGAATGGCTAACTCTTGCGGGACTGTGACGCGTCGCCCAGTCGACCTTGGCGAAGGATGATTTTGATGTTTTCTGTCGGTCGGTAGTGGCGGAAACGCTTACGCTTGTCGGCGAGAATTGGAATCATGCACCTGACGCAAAGGAAGGTGAACGGGGGTGTCGTGCGGGGAGCGCCGAAGGTCTTCGGTTTTTTGTTGTCCTCAGCAGTTGTGTTTTGTACGTGTCCACCCGGCTCCTTTGTCATTTGTCTCATCGTCGTTTCCTGTCTTGTACCATTGAAGCTTTCATGTGTGTCAGGAGTAATAGGTTGTGTTTCGTTTCGGAGTTAATAGCTCGTATGCGTCTTTGGCCGTAGTTGCTTTGCATTTCCTCTGTTGCCGGTTTGCGTGTGTTTTGTAGCTCTCAGTCTCATGTTTTCGCCAGTTCACCTTCTGCCCGTCCGGGCTTCTGCTTTGGGTAGACGTGATCAACACGAAGAAGAAACACATGGTGCGCCTAGTAGCACAGTCTGAAGATTTGTTGTAACTTTGTGAATCGATGTTGCTGCCACGAAATGAACGACAACGTGAAATGATTCGGTCATTGTGCGTGCTTTGAACGTTTCTTTCACAAATGCCGTTCCTAGATGTCAAAACCTCTTGTCTCTATTTCTTGCCTTTCTTGAATGAAGGGGGCGGGGGATGCGCCTGCGTGTTTAAAATCGGAGGTGGGTCGCTAGTGTGCACCGGTGTGGTTTGTGACTACCCCCTTTTTTTCCTTTTCTTGTGCGCCCGCCGTGTGAGTTGTTTGGGCTGATAAATGACGGTCGGTTGCGTTTGGGGGAGGGGGGGGGGTGGCATGTTGTCTGAACAAGTAGTTTCGTTTGGGTACGCAGTGTAGCGCGCACTTGTGATGTTTTGCGAGTGAGAGCGTTCGTCCACGCTCCACACGCAGCGTCGAACATGCGTTTTTGTGTAGCAACCCTATAAGGAGGGGGGGGGGGGGGGGAGCGAAGGGAGGGCATTCGCAGCAGTAGAGGAAGGGGCTGACGTCTGGCGTTTTTTATTCGGGGATGGGGCATGGAATGCGCCACAGAGTACGTTGTTGTTGCACTGGTCGTGTTGGCCTAGGCCTTTTGCGTTGTGAGGTGCTGATGCTCGACAATGCACACGTGTCACGCTGACGTGAGGGAAGATGGTACACTGTTCATCTTTCGACAGCACGCCCGAACACACACGCGGTGTTCCCTCTGATGAGCTAGCTGAAGAGACTTTTCTGCTTGTGTGTTGGCGGTCTGCAGTAGTAGTCGACTGGTGGTGATGTAGATCGGAGGAAACAAAAGATTATACGAACACATGCATGCATGAATAATAATAATGAATGATTAAATTGAATAGTTGTGGTGTAAATATATCGAATACATGCGCCGAACAAATTGATTGAATTGTTGTTGGCAACTTTGTCCAGGCTTTCGATGGAATTGGCTGCCAGCCTTTGATTGATTCTGTTCCATCAGAGACCGAGCTGATGATACATGGGTCTCGAGAGGGGAAGGGTTTATTAACCTGCCCACGAAACAACCATTACAAAATCCAAAACGAACGCTCATTTTTGTTGCCTACATTATTAGACAATAAATGGCGTATTTTGCGCCTAATGCATACGGTCTGATTATTTCGGAGAATTTTTTTTCTCTCGGTCGGGGGAGGCGGCCTGCACCGAAAAAATTATCCAGATTCAAACGACAGTCTTCGGTTCCTCGAGGAATTTGGGCTGCTGGTGGATTTTGCCATCATTCTCCTACCCGTAAGACCAAGACGCCCAATTATTTTGTAGGCTCAGAAAAGGACCCCTCCGCCAAAAATCCAATCCGGAAATAATCACGCCGTATGACTCAGCCTAACCCACCGGTGGTACAAAAAGTCAAAGCCCGAAAATAAATACAGATGATGCACATCGTCTGCTCTACTTTTTTTACCTCATTCACCGAGTTTGGGCCCAAAATGGTACCAACAACATACGATCGATCGATGATGATGTGTGTGGTGAGTGACAAGCAAGTCCCGCCCCCCCGCGGAGAGAGCTACTACTACTTCGCACCCTAAACCAGCCTGAAGAAGGGGTTGAAAAAAATCCAACACCCGCCAGAACGTCGTGTGTTCCATCCAGTTTGTTGGGACTTGCAGGCTAGATTCACAAACAAACAAGAAGAGCCCGTGGTGCTTGCAATGAACGGCTGCCTCCGAAGTAAGCACGCTACACATACATACCACCTCTGGGATGATGGTTGTTAGTTGTTAAGTAGTAACAACGGTGGTACGAGTAAAAAAATGAATCGATATCATCATCATCTCGGTATTACTCGGAGTATTTTGTTTATCGCACATGGAATCCCTCCCACCGTACCTACAATGTCTACCCGTCACCCCGTCTCGCTGACTCTCACCTACGAATTGAAGACTACGACGAACGAACCCATCAATCATATACTGCTGTATACCCATCTGATGATTGATACTGTTATCTTTCTTTATCCGTCCAAAGTTTGACACAGCATCCATCCATCCATCCATGAACGACTCCTCCTCCTCCCACCACTCACTCCCACCACTCACTGTCTGTCGTCGTCGTCATCATGAACGAACGAACATGGTTATTATATTGCCGATCGATCACAGCAAAAACCAGCAGCAGCATCGATCGCATCATCATCTCGTCGTGCCGAACACTACTATCTACTACTACTGCTTACTACTTTACTTCATCGTTCATTATTAGTATTGTTATTCCGACAGATTGATTAGTCTTCTTCTCATGAATCCTCCGACCTCCGACCCAACAGCGCGCTTTATCAAAGACACCCCCCCGTCTTTCTTTCTCCTCGCAGTACATAGTACATAGTATGTATGTAGTAGCATTTCCTTCCCACCGCGGTCGGTCTTGAGCAAGGCCCACACCAGACCACCACCACCACTCGGTCGGATGGTTATGGCACTTTTTTTTCTCCATCCCGTCAGGAGATTATTACAGAAGAGAGGAGGGCTCGCCAGAACCCAACAGCAGCAATAATAGTAGCAACAATAATAGCATTGATTCCGCATTTCTTCAACAATAGCAACATCGGACGGGCTGATTCCAGCAGACACACACCCGACGAACGCACAACGGAGCCGAACGCTCGCCGCAGCGAACAGTAGGAGGAGTACATAAATTTACTTCTTCTATGTTTCGCGATTCTTGGATGCGAAAGGCAGCTAGCTACAACTTTCCCTCCACACGTCGACAAGCAAGCCTCTCCCTGGTGGCTCGTTCATGTTATTTACCGACGGCCACGTCTTGGGTGTGGGCGCCCGGATACCGTACGTACATCAAGAAGGCCGATCGATATCGCTACATAAATAAACCGGCTGATTGATTCCTGACAATGAAACGGCAGTGGATGCTACACCATCCAGCAAGCAGGACGAGAAGGGCGTAGAGGGAGCATGCATGCGGATTCCAACAACCAAGCAGAACGTGGCAAGTGATATATTTCTCTCCCGAAACCACCATCATCATGGTATCTATCCATCATCTGCCTATGTATATATCTGCGCTTCAAAGTGCAGGTAAGGACAAAAATCACAGACGGCCGGCCGGAGGGGGGGGGGCTACATACACAGTTAGGCAGTTCCCCCCTTTATTTACCTCCTCGCCCGATGATGATGTGGTAGCGGACGCAAACAAAAAACATCAGGCTCTTTCTAGTGCAGGATGACTCCGCCTAGCTAGTTAGTCATCTACACCCAGCAACGGAAAAAAAGCAAGGATATTTGCCCAGTCAGAAACTGCGTGCCTTTCCTCTTGTGTGTACCAGCATTGAGTGACTGGCGGTCCACTCGACCACGTGATGAAGTATTACTTTGTCGCCTTCTTTCCCCGCCTCCGCCCGCGCCGCACCAGCAAAAAAACAGCTGTGGTTTCCATGCCTGAAGTTTTGCTACACAAACTGTGGTTTCCATCCTTAAGGTTTGCTACAGATATATATGGGAGCGCACGCAATGTTTGCTTGGAACGCTCCTCCTCGCGAGGGATACCTCCCAATCCCCCAAGAATCCAAAAACGAAAACGCCTACACACTACTACACATACCTAACGAGAACGAGGAGAAACGGCACCAACCGCTATGCAAAGAAAGACTATCGTTATTATTATGTAGGACCGAGGCTGACTGCTGTTTGTTGCAGCAGCAGCAGCAGCAGCAACGGGGTTTGTTTCCCCATCCGTCCAACAGATGATAAAACACCAAGCAAGCAATTCCCGCTCTAGATACATTCCAAGAGACACCGACGATAAGAGGAATGAAATACACCGACGGCTGACTATTATAAAAGTCCCTTCGCCCTTCAAAACAAAAAAATATTCTTCCGCCGTGTGTGTAAACTGAACAAGTGACTATCAGTGGAACGAGACTTTGGGTCCGTTTCTCGCATCGCTTCCGGACCGGGTGGGACAAGACACGAGTGGGTTTCATCGCGATCGTCCACACCCTTGCCACGAAGGGTTGATTCCACAGAGCCCCGCCCCCCCCTCTTCCGAAAAAGCCTCTTACGTGCGAATCATGACTTATACATCCGACCGACCGTCCTGCACACAACGACACCTTACTACTCTACTTCATCTCCCCTTTACGTACTGCCGCGGATCCCCTCCTTCCCTATCTAACCCCGAGAAAAGTACAAACACCGATCAACGATCACGATCACGAGCGATTCTTTGTCGAAAGAAAACGTCCACACTAAATCACTAACATTGCCGGCCTCGGAGCGAAAACAACACACGGAACACTGCACAAGAAAACAAACAAAAAACAAACAAGGCTTCCCCCAGACAGGCTGGTTTTGACCCCAAGCCACACACCGGGCGACCGCCGTGATCCTTAGGGAGGGTTGATTCCCTCCCCGCCCCCCGGCCCCTATCCCCCACTCTCTGACGCTTTCCTACAAGCCTAGAACACCTCCGTCTCCTCCGCCAGACAGACGGAGTCAAACGCAGCAAGGACATGGAGGGGGCACCGCAACGACGATTATCTCGTAGTACGACGGAACCCCCCCCCCCCCCCCCCAAAGGGGGCACCCCGGGGGGGCCCCCAACAACGGCGAA